GATCATCTCTCCCAGAGACTTGACGCCCCCCGCCACGAGGTTCGCCATGATCGCAACGAGACGCGATGCAACGTTGACTGCGAGGCGCACCTGTGGTCTTGAGCCAACGCAAAGCTGCGGGCTACAGCAATGGGAAAAGATAACGGACTGGGGCATCCAAAATCTGGATCCCCCCAATCAGCGGGCTCTCTCTCTCTCTCTCTCTCTCTGTCGCTGTCGCCGTCCCTGTCTCTTTCTCTGTCTCTGTCTTTGTCTCTGTGTCTGCCTCTCTCTCTCTCTCTCTCTCTCTCTCTCTCTCTCTCTCTCTCTCTCTCTCTCTCTCTCTCTCTCTCTCTCTCTTCTGCGGGTGTGTGTTTTTTGGCTGTCGCTCCAAAGGCCAGGGCGGGGCTGCTAGTCGAGGCCGCGCGCGGCGCACGTCAGCCCAAGTCGTTGGCGTGGCCGCGGGGCGGGCCGTGGCGCGCCAAGCGCACCACTTTCTTGGCCGCCCAAGGAGGCAAGTGGTACTTCATGTGCACCTGGAGAGTCCGCCACCAGCTCTCCCAAGGAGCTGTGGCCTCCTCGAGCGCCTTCTCGGCCTTCTCGGTCGCCTTCTTGGCCTTCTGAAGCTTTCCCTCCGTCTTCTCCAAGGAAGCCTGCGTCTCGCGCAGCTCCGCCCGCGCGTCCTTGAGGGCGGTCGTCTTCTGCTTGAGCTGCTCCTTGCAGTGGTTGGCAACCGCCTCTGCCGCTGCGGCTTTGTGTTGGGCGGTGTACATATTCCTGTAGTGCTGGTTGGAGCGGCGTGACCGCGCGTCCAGGACGCTCTCAAGGTCGCGCAACTTGTCCACCAAGGGTTTGCGAGCTGCGGCGCGCGCCCCCCTCGCCAGCTTGGCCACAGCTGGTTTGTTGCCGAGGTCGTGATCTCTCTTCGCGGCCCTGCGTACCTTGTTGCTGTGCAGCTTCTTCTCGTAAGCGGGTGTCCCCTTCTTTGGGTTCCCCATGGTGTCGCGAAGCACGGAGCGCGGAACCAATCAAACCTTGAGCCAAAGCGGTTACGGATGGTCGAAGCTTGCTCGTGCCGCATCCGCTGGGGGGCTCTGTCATTCTGTCGGAGGGTTAGCAAACGCTGTAAAAAACAGGTGTTCCAAGTCGGAGGGTCAGCAAACACTGTAAAACACAGGTTTCTCAGGTTTTTCATGTTTTTGCGCATCCATCCACCTGGGAGCGCACAGATCCCCCAAAACCTGAAAAACCGGTGCTTTGCTGTGGTTTCTCGGCCTCTGACCTGACAAAACCTGTAAAAAACAGGTCTTTCAGGCCGGAGGGTTGGCAAACACTGTAAAAAAAACATGTTTTTCAGGTTTTTCAAGTTTTTGCGCATCTTTCCACCTGGGCGCGCATAGATCCACCAAAACCTGAAAAACCTGAAAAACCTGTGTTTTGCAATGGTTTCTCAGCCTCTGACCTGAAAAACCTGTTTTTTTACAAGAGATTCTCTACCTCTGGCTTGACAGGAGGCGCCACGAGCGCAATCGAAAGGACGAACTGAATTGATCAGGCACTCTCCTCCTCCTCCTCCCCCTCATCATTCTTCCTCCTCCTTCTCCCCCTCCCCCTCCCTCCTCCTCCTCCCTCGTGGTTGGGATGTTCGCCCCACGAGGGCTCTCGAGGGTTAAAACTGAGGGGCCCTCGTGTCGTCGTTTTCCCCCGCCGTCGCGGGGGTATTTTGCTGCCAGTCCTGGCTGGTAGAGGGCTGGGGGAGGTCCCCGCGAGTCCGCCTTTGTTTTGGAATGGTGGAGTCGCTCTATACTGTTCCTCTTCTTCAGGCAGGTCTCGTTCGAAGCCTGAGGTGGGGCCGCCCTGGCCCCCAGCTTAGCCGCCGCGTGTTCGGGCCTCGGACGCGCGCGCCACGCCTCGTACCCTCGTACCCTATCCTCCTCCTCTTCCTCCTCCTCTTCCTCCTCTTCTTTCTTCCTCGACGCCAAGTTGGAAAACGCTGAAACCGCCCAGGCGCCAAAAACAACCAAAAACGCCCAGGCCTACATCGGGTCTGGCGCCCCTCCTCCAGCTCCTCCTTCTCCTCCTCCTCCACCTCCCCCTCCTCCTCCTCCTCCTCCTTCTCCTCCTCCTCCTCCTCCTTCTCCTCCTCCTCCTCCTCCTCCTCCTCCTTCCCACTCCTCCTCCATGCCACTTTGTACCCCGCTCGCCAGACACCCTGAAACAGCAGATTCAACGCTTGCTGCCGCCGCCGTCACCGCCGTCGTCGTCGACTCGTCGTCGTCGACTCGTCGTCGTCGACTCGTTGTCGTCGTCGTCGTCGTCATCGTAGTTGTCGTCGTCGTCGTCGTCGTCGTCGTCGTCGTCGTCGTCGTCGTCGTCACCGCCGTCGTCGTCACCGTCATCATTGTCGTCTTCGTGTTCATCGTCGTCGTCGCCAGAATCGTCGTTGTCGTCGTCGTTGTCGTCGTCGTCTCGAGGAGCGGGGGATCGAGGATCGTGGATCAATCTGAGTTGTTTATGTTTTGGGATCCCTCCTTGGGATCGAGATAGGCCTTTTCGAGGATCCATCTGTTCAAACTCCTGGGGATCGAGGATCGAGGATCTATGTTTTTCGAACTCCTGGAGGCCTCCGGAAGCCTCTGGAGATCTGCTCCGGTGGGGACCCGTCGTCGTCGTCATGATGTTGCTTCGCCATGGAGCGAGCGGATCCTGAAGGACAACGGGTCCTGAGGTCGTTCTACGTTTTAGGTCTCGTGGCCCTCCCCCAGGTCCAAGGATTTTTCAAGCATTACGAAGGGCGAACAGCTAGTCTGGGGAAAAGGCCCCGGGCTCAGGACCCAATTTTTCCTTCAGGACCCGTTTGTGCACTGCCAATGCTTGTCGTCACCGTCGGGGGGGGGGGGAAGAAGGGATCGGGAGTCCCAGAGGCTCTCGTTGGTATTGAGTTGTGGGGGGCTTCTGGGTTTCGATTGGGTGCTTGAGGTTGTCGGCTGTCCCTCCACAGACGTACATACAGTGAAGCCGTATAGTAAGGATGGGCAATTTTCCCAAGGGTAGCCTTGCATCCTGGCCTCCTCGGTCCATGCTTGGCCACTCTCGTTGGCCGCGCCCCGCTCGAAAAGCTCCAAGATGGCCCTCCAGGGCCCTTGCATCCTCATCGCGCGTCCTTATTAGAAAGGTCGACTGTACCTATGTGGGCGCCTGCCTGACCGTCGCTCGACTTTTATCTCCAGCTGACTTGCCGCGGCAGGCGTCTTGGAGAGGAACGCGCCGATGTCGGCCAGAGCCGGGGCCCCAGAGAGTCCTGCAGGCATGCTCGTGTGTGCCGCTCTCGGCGCACATGAGAGGCCTGCGCGCATTCGTTGACTCATAGGTTTGCGGGTTTTCCTGCAGGCTTTGTTTTAAGTCGGGCATGCCCTTGCACAGGAGGAATATTCCAGAATGGTAAAACATAGTCGGGTGACGACGTGTCCGACTTTTTTTGTTTTTTGTTTTTACCTGAAAAGGTTGAAACTAAATGTCATGTTTCTTTCAAGATCCGCCTGTAGGAGGACATGCCCGACCTGAGCTTTGTTGCACATCTCCATGGCTTCTTTTCAGCTCCTGGGTGTTTGTGGTGGGTTCGGGAGAATAGTGTTTCCTTTGGAGGGCCCTGGAGGTATCAGTGGGTTGCTTTTTCACAGTTCCTGCAGACTCGCGAGATCGATAATACGTTTTCACTTGTGCAGCTGAGCACGCACACGCTATTGCATGTGATCTGCAACCGGTGTGCCGTCCAGGCACGGGTCTTCTGTGCCTGATTTGGATTGTTGCGTGGTTGTTTGATGTACTGACAATTATGGGCGGGTGGCAGATGAGGATGAAAAGGATGAGGAGGGAAGGAGGAGGAGGCGCAGGAGGAGGAGGAGGAGAAGGAGGAAGCGGAAGAGGAGGAGAGGAGGAGAATGAGGGAAGAGGAGGAGGAGGAGGAGGAGGAGGAGGAGGAGGAGAGGAAAGACGAGGATGAGGATGAGGAGGAGGGTTGAAGGAGCGTCAGAGGGAAGGAGGAGGATAAGGGAAAAGCTGGAGGAAAAGGAGAAGAAAGATAGGGAAAGGAGGTGAAGAAAGGAGAGAAAGTGAGAAGAAGAACGGCTAGATTTGCAGGCACCTGGAGCGAAACATCGGCGCACGCTGGGCTCGATCCCTCCGAGGGGGCGCCTCGACTTGCTGGTGCACACGGGGCATCATGCCATGCACAGTAAGGCAAACAGGCAGCAAGACAAAGACAATGTGGGGTGGAGGGCATTACATTATATATATATATATATATATATATATATATATGTGTGTGTGTGTGTGTGTGTGTGTGTGTGTGTGTGTGTGTCTGTGTGTGCGTCTTTGTTGACGCGGCGGCGTCTCTGTGATCGGCTCCTAGCGTCGGGCGGTTTGCGAGGGCCGGCACTCCAGCAAACCTGAGCACCAGGCTGTTGACCTCTCTCCGAGGGGTCAGCTTGTTTTACCTTCGCCGGCGGAGACGCTGGCGGAGGCGCCCTGCGACCTCGGTGAAAGCCGGCGAAAGGCCTCGCCTTCTTCTAGGGACCGACGGAGTTCACAGTCACTCTGGGGCGAGGCTTGTTTGGGGGGAACGCCCTGGCAGCCTGGGGGTCAACCCAGACAGCGGTGCAGACGATGCGGAAGAGAGGCGCCCAGATCTCCGACGTCGTGACCTTTCAACACGTGGCCCCGGGAACTCCCGGCGCACCCCCGGGGGGCAGCCTCTTCGTCACGGCCCGCTTTTTCAGATCGTCCTGGGGCGTGTTTTTGTTTTGATGTTCGCCAGGACGCTGGAGGTCTGAGAATCAGGAGGGGAAGAAACACACAGACACAAGTCATCGTCGATCCCCCGGATAAGATGGGAAATCATGAGAAGTGGGGGGAGAGACGAAAACCCAGAAAATATTATACGATATGGGGAATCTTGGGATTTCTGTCTATATGTTTGTGTGTCCTAGGGCCCCATTAGAGAAGCGCGCGACGCCTCGGAGGCGCGGGGCAGCCGCCGTGGTTCAATGACTTCTACCGGCACTTGCGACTGATCACCGAGGTGGTATGCGGAGAGCTGGCGCTCCTCCGCCCGCACGGTCGGAGCCTCTTCGCGGTATCCTTCCCCCCCACCTCCTCCCCTCCTCCAGCCTGCGGCTGAGCGGGAAGGCCCTCCCCCGCCCCCTCCATGCAACTCTTGGTTCCTGCTCCGTCGCCGTCACCGCCCTTCTATCCACTACGAAGCCAGCCTGCCAGCAGATGCCCTGCTGCAGCCTGTCACACCCTTGATGCCTCTTGTCGCCCCACATGAGCCCTGGGGCACCCCGGCAGGCCCTGGCAGGGCCAAAGGTGGACGGCAAAATTGCTGTTAGATTTCTCACTGCAAGACCCCGCATCGAAAGTCCCTGCTGCGTGGGCGCAGAGGCCTTGACCGGCGCAGCCTGCCGTCTCGGCGCGCTGCCGACCTCGGGGGGCGTCGCCGAGGCGTGCGCCCGCAGCACGGTGTCGCGTCGGAGGATGTCGCCGCGCGGGTACAGCGCGAGGATGCCGCCGACACTGCGGGCGGAGGCCGCTGCGGGCGATCCAGGTCCCCACAGCGGAGGCCGATGCCAGCGGGGCGCTGGCGGGCGTTGCGGCGCGGACCCTGAAGGGCGGCCTTCGCAGCGGCGCGCGCCCGCCTCCCGAGCGGGCAGACGACAAGGATCGGGTCGGCACCCCGTGAAGCTTGCGACGAGATCACGGTGGGCATCATTGGCGGCTCTGTTTGTTTCCACGTCGGGCCGCGCGGGCGTTTGCTTTTGGCAAGACTTTCGTGATCCAGACCCCAGCGGGAGCCCCCCTCGCGGTCGCGAGGTGCGCTCGGGACAGCCAGCCCCCGCTCTTCTGCACCCACAGGTCGGGCGGCGTTTCTGTGAAGGAAGTGGGACGGGAGCCTGTCCGCCCAGTTCTGATCTGGGCGTCGGCACAAGGATAGCTCCACAACAGCCCACAAAATTCGGAGGAAGACGACGACGGCGAGGGCACGAGCAAAGAGGTGGGAACGAACGACGAGGCGACAGGGCTGGTTGCCGCGCTAGGGCCCCGCGCCAGCCCTGCCCACCGCAGGCCCTGGGCGAGGTGGCGGCCAGGCTGCCGCCTTCGGGTCGAACGTTAGGGGGGGATAGGCTCAGGGGGGGACGCATCGACCCCCAATCGCCAACGAATCGCCGATGGGGCCCCGACAGCCCCGATCCGCTCAGGAACGTGGGGCTTCGCCAGCCGGGGCACATAGCCGATCCACCGGCGATGCATCGTCGATTCAGGCTCGATGCGTCCCCCCCTGAGCGGGTCCCCCCCGATCGTTTCCCCCGAGCCTTGAGATCCGGCGTTGCGAACAAATGCCACATCACAAAAAAGCACGACCAGAGCCCCTGACCCCATTTCCCTGCGTCATGCTTCGAGCCGGATCGATCTGTGAGAGTTTCATGGGGCCTGAAAAACGGGCGGAAACGACCCGCGAACAAATCTCGGCGGCGAGCCCTGGGGGGGAGAGGAGAAGCGGCGGGCCTTCTCAGAAGGCTCGGGAGTCCCCCGGCTTCTGGGAAGTTTTCCAAGCCGTCCCCGAAGACACAAACAAATTCTCAGAAGGCGCGAGGGCTTCTGAGAAGTCCCGCCGCCTTCTGAGAAGGCCTCCTCCTTCTCATTTCCCCCCCTCGCTCGCCGCCGAACATCGTGGCGTCAGGATCCCTGGGAAGGTGGCGGGCCAGGCTGTCGCATCAGTAGGGCCATGCCTCCGGCTCGGAGGCCCAGTGCGAGGGCCCTCGGAGCGCGGACCTGGCGCCCTCGGCAGCGGGCGGCCCTCCAGTGGCACGGTCGCGAGGCCCCCTTCCTGGGCAAGGCCCTGGAGCTCTCGAGAGGGCAGCTCGGCATGGCTCGGACGCATGTGCACCTTTTCCCGCGAGGACCACTCAGCAAGGGAAGCGCGGGCGGAACCGTAAAATTG